AGGCTTACAACTAAGAAAAAGACAGGCAAGGTTCCTGCCCTCAGAGCTTGTTTCAGTGCAAGCAGACACTCAACAAGAAAACTAGTCAGATTATTCCACACGGTAAATGCTATGAATAAATAAAGCAAGGACTTCCCTGGTGGCGCAGTGGTCAAGAATCCGCCTGCCAATGCAGGGAGGACATGGGTTCGAGCCCTGGTCCAGGAAGATCCCACATGCCGCAGAGCAACTAAGCCCGTGCACCACAACTACTGAGCCTGCGCTCTACAGTCTGCAATGAGCCCGTGTGCCACAACTACTGAAGCCCGCGCGCCTAGAGCCCGGGCTCCACAAGAGAAGCTACCGCAACGAGAAGCCCGCGCACCGCAATGAAGAGTAGCCCCCGCTCGCCGGAACTAGAGAAAGCCAGCACACAGCAAGGAAGATCCAATGCTGCCAAAAATAAATAAATAAAATAAATTTACTTTTAAAAAAAAGAAATAAAGCAAGGTGATGGGAAAGAGAAGATGTTCTTCAGAGCTGGTGGGGAGAGGGAACTGCTTTAGACTAGTGGTCAGGAAGCCCTTCTCTGGGGAGGTGAACCAAAACCTGAAGGGTAATTGGCCAAATATGTGAGGATCTAGAAGAGTTGCATGATAGGAAGAGAAAATGCCAAGTGCAATGACCCTGAGGCCAAAGGAACCCATTTAAAGATAGAAAAAAAGTCAGTGAAACCAGACTGCAAAAACTGAGGAAGGGAGTGGTACAAAATAAGAGAAGAGGGAAAAAGCAAGAGCCAGATCATATTGGGCCTTGTGGCCTTGGTCATGACTTTGGGTTTTCTTCTCAATGGAGAGTTTTAAACGGATTTACTTTTTCAAAAGATTGTTGGGGTGCTGTTTGGAGAATGGAATCTAAACAGGCAAGTGTGAGAGACTCCAGTCAGAATGCTCGAATAGTGGGCCCAGCTATTAGGCCCACTATGACAAATTAGGATGGTAGCAAAGGATACAGAAAGAAATGGCCAGATTGGGGATACAGTCTGTAAATGGAGTCAAAAGTACCTGCTGATGGATTGGTTGTGTAGGGTAAGGAAAAGAGAGGAATCAGGCATGGCTTCCAGCAGCCGGGTAGATGCTCAATGCCATGAACTGAGATGGTGAAGACTCAGGAATGTCCAGGATGGCTTTTTCTGGGGGTAAATGACTTTGGCAAACTGATCTTGCTGGGGGCTGAAGGCCCTCCTGACATATGCTCAGTGGTATCCTAAGATAGCATCCAAAGGTGTCACACAGGTGTTTGCCTTGCCCCCTGCCCCATCCTTGAGCCAGATCACCAAGATGTTCTAATTTCTGCCCTTATGCCTCTGGCTTCCTCCTCCTCTTGGGGCCCAATTCTAGGTGGTGGTGCCTCTCTTCCCCTCATTTCTCTCCTTAAGAGCTTCTAATCCCCATTTCTGTGGCCCCTACCTACTGCCTCTGATTCCAAAGTCCTCATTCCACCTCTGCTTTCCTCTGCCTTCAAGGCTCTTGTCCACTGCCCTCTGCTTTCTTCTTCTCTGTGTCCACACCAGACCAAGGTTGCAACAATGTCAAGTATTTAAGCTGCCAAAAGGATATAGGATACTGGCCCTGTTCCTTCCAGTTCCTTATTAGCAAGACAATTTCTAGGAAGATATATCATCTTTGGCCAAAGTTATAATTTGGCATTACACACACTGACTTGACTCCATTCTGAGGGAGAATTCAAGTTTTCCTGTATTCTTAATTGTAAACTGGGCTGGAGAGATAGGTAGTTCCAAAGTATTAGTAGGTTATAGTTCCAAAGCTCATAAATTAATTAACTGGAATATAATTTCTACATGGATTCCAACAGATATTTCCCAGCTGTGCACATCACTCATACTTTTGAATGGAGGTCCAGGGCAAAGAAAGTAAGGCCCAGAGAGAAAGAGAAACTAGAAAAAGGTCCTAATTCTCAACCCAAAATTTTCTTCTTCCCCAGAGGAATGACACAGGGACTACCTAAAATTTTAGACTCAAACCCACTCCTCTCTCTACCAAAAGTGGCATTGGACTTGCCCTGTGATCCCATCAGAAAAACCACATGAGAACACAAGATTAGCATGAGAGACAGGGAGGGAAAACTATTTCGTTAGGTCAGCTGTTATTTATAAATTCATAAACCGAAATTTGAAGAGGTGAAGTATTGTTCAAGCTTACAAAGTGAAGAGGCATCAGAGCTGGTGTCAAAAGACAGATGTTCCTCACACTCTGCACCACACCATTCCAGCATCTTAGCAGGACATCTGTGGCTCAAGAAATTTCCAACGACTTTTCAGAGATATTGCTTTTGGGAAAAGATTCTTAGAGGTGTGTTTCATTTTGTGTTTTTTCCCCTGACAGCAATTCTTGATGAAAGTAAAATATGCCATCACAAATTTATTTAACAAAATGTCAGAAAAAAATTAGAGACAAAGAACGCTTTTGATTTAACCTAAGTCTGCAGACTCATTATATTCACTGTTAAAAATTTTTCACAATGAAAAGAATAAGTTGGTAAAAATGACTTTGGTATACTCTGGTTAAAAAGAAAAAACAAAAAAACAAACAAACAAACAAAAATTAACTGTCTTAATTGAAAGAACTGAAATTTACTAAATAATACTTTATTTTTCTCCATTACACTTATTAACATGTGACAGTTTTTATGCTGTTATTGACCATCTCCTTCCACTGGATTGCAATTTCGATGAAAGCACAAATTTTGTCAATTTTGTTCACAGCTGTATTCCCAGCACCTACAACAGGCCCAGGCCCATAGTAGACATCTGATAAATATTTTTCCACTGTTGAATGAATAAAAGTTGAGTGAGATTTCCTTGCAGCAGGGTATTCATTACAAGACTGCTTCTTGAATGAACATTTATAGATTGGAAACACAGTATAAAAGCAGAATTCAGTGAAGGAAGCTAAGTCTGGGAAAGAAAGATTCTAGTGAGTGATCTTGGCTGACAGTGTGAAAAACAATCACATAGCAGAACACAAAGCAAAAAGAAATTTAACACAGATGTCACAAGTTTCTTGCATTTAGACCTAGGCACTTAACCAACAGGTCAGTGTCCCTGTACTCAGAGTACATGAGTGTTCCGTGTGCGTGCGTGTGTGTGTGTGTGTGTGTGTGTGTGTGTGTGTGTCTCTTTTACTTTACTTTAAAAGTAATTCCAGGGACTGCCCTGGTGGCACAGTGGTTAAGAAGCCACCTGCCAATGCAGGGGACACGGGTTTGATCCCTGGTCCAGGAAGATCCCACGTTCCGCGGAGCAACTAAGCCCGTGCGCCACAACTACTGAGCCCGCGTGCCACAACTGCTGAAGCCTGTGCACCTAGAGCCCGTGCTCCGCAACAAGAGAAGCCACTGCAATGAGAAGCCTGTGCACCGCATCGAAGAGTAGCCCCCACTCACCACAGCTAGAAAAAGCCCGTCCGCAGCAACGAAGACCCAACGCAGCCAAAAATTAATTAATTAATTAAAAAATAATAATAAAAGTAATTCCAAAAACCTTGGTTATGTGAATTTTCTACTTCAAAGTAGATGAGACATTAGCACTAAAAGGGTATCATAGTTGAAAGAGACAGTCTGGCAGCCCATATGCTGACAACCAGGGAAAAAAAAATAAAGCAGACACCAAAAAAAGCACAGGAATCTGGTATCATTTAATTTCAGTTCAAATAAATCCACACACAAATAATATATAATTTCCCATGGAAGTTTTGCTATTTCAGAACATAGTCAATGATTTTCATACTGACAACACTTATAGACAAGCTTAGACTATGTTCTGTAGACTCTGCTTAAAGGCAACAAGGAACTATGTCAATCTTTATTTTTGCGTTCCGTAACATCTTACAGAAAACCCCGAACGAACATTTTTGTCCAGCTCAGTACCTTTCTGGGGTTTTGTTTTGAGGCTCTATTATGTGCCAGGGCCCACACTAAGTCCTTTACATACAGTTTCGCTGCTAATCCACTCAATAACCCTGTAAGGAAACAAGTGTCTTCCCATTTTCTAGATGTGAAAACTGAGGCTGGGGTGGGGGGTAAGTACATGTTCCAAATCAGAAAGATAGAAAGTAGTACTGATGGGATTCAACTACAAATCATGTGTTCTTTTCACCATAACAAGCTGCCACCACAACACTAACGAACCCAGGGAAATGATGTACTGTAAGAACCATACACTGCAGGAAAACGTGGCTTCCTGGCCAAAGAATTCAGCATGGCTTCCCAAAGTCATAAACCTAGAACCCAAAACTGTATTTGCCAGTCTTTTTCATTCATTCTCTTTCTTTCCTGTGGTTTCAAAAGACTGAACACTTATTTGTGCTAGTTAATCAAGAGATTCAACAATATTTTTTATGTGCTCACCTTGCACAACACTGTAATGAATACTGGTTATTTCACTCTTTCACTGGTTATTCCATTATTAACCCTCAAATATCTTCTTTACCTTTTATTCAATGAAAGATACAGAACTATCACATTATAAAGCAAGCAATGTGGACCATTTAGATGAATATGGGTGATGTGGATGAAGGTAAAACAAAGTGGTGAGAAAGGGACTTCCCTGGCAGTCCAGTTGTTAAGGCTCTGTGCTCTCAATGCAGGGGGCATGGGTTCAATCCCTGGTGGGGAACTAAGATCCCACACTCCAGCATGGTGTAGCCAAAAAACCCCCAGAAAACAAACAAACAAAAAAAACAAAGTGATGAGAAAATATCAAAATGTAGGTTTCTCAACTGGAAGTTCAACTTTGTAACAGTTAACTTGCAAATGTCACCACTTTTTTTTTTTTTAAAAGTTCCATACCAGAAAGACACTTTTCAGAAGTACTACTCTGGTAAGAAGTAGTCAGGTATTTCAGACTAGAAATACACGTTCTCCTCTGTAACTTAAGAAATTAAGATTCGATATTACTGGACTAGTTTATAACCTTCTGCTTGTATGAAGTTCCAACTTACCATATCTGTGCTAAAACAGGTTGAGGTAACCCAGATTGAAAAAAAAAGTTTCTAGCTTGATCACCTGTAAATTAAATGGAAAAAGTTTTAGAAGAAAGCAGCAGCTGACAGAAAACCACTTATGGCAAAATTACAAAAAGGAAGAGGTTAATAATCCTGTAAATACTGAACTGAATACATTTTAAAAGCCAAATGATAAGTTTATAAATAACAGTAAAATGAATCCATCAGCACTGACTTTAGAATGTAACACTTAAAATCATCTCAAAAAGGGCCTACCATTGTGTAGGGGTAGATTGTCCACTTTAATTAATCTGCTAGTAATTAAGATGGTAACAGCTACACATTACAACAAAGTGAACCTACAGAAATCCTCAAGAAACTGATGACCCCTACTTCTACTTCACAGAAGAGTTCTCTGCCATTCCCATCTACCTACACTTCAGATTTTTGGTACTTCTAACATATTTATGGAGAGTTAGTAAGAATGATTAAAAGAATCACATCGAGGACTAAGAATTAGTAAGTTAAAGAGAAGTGAAACAAATACACACAAAAGCAAGTTCCCAGGAAATCTAAATCCCATTTTTTCTAAAGCTAATTCCTGAAGAGTAATCAAACAGGAAAGAGATTAGAAAAAGCAAAGTACAAAAGGATCTTTAAGTACATAGCAATAAGAAAAATTTTTTTAATGTTCATAATCTGTTAATTTACTCAAGCCAGTTCAAGATCAGAATTAAGGAAGTGTTTTTGCTCAAGGACTACAGTCCAATGCTACAATTACTTAAAGAATGTGGTCCATTAATCTTAAACAATTCCCAACAGTGACATGCCTAAAACAGTGACTTGGCATCCATTAAAAACTGCAAAAAAGACTTGAGTGCATTGGAAGAGAAGCAACTGTAAAAATACAGACTCCAGGTTAAGGCAAAATAGGCAAAGTGTACCCTTGATCACATGTGCCCACCTTCGCTCTGCATAATAGATTTTCCACAGATATATGCACTATGATAAGTAAAAATGTAAAAATACTGACTCCAATTACCAGTAATAAATCCAGATATTGGCTTTAAACTATGGAACTGTTGATCATGCTTTGCTCTTTCCTCTACAGTTATGGCCCAAATATCCAGGCTACCTACAATCCAAAAAAAGACAAAGAAATTATTCAATGAGAAAAGAAAAACAAAGTGCTCACACCCACAGTTTCCACAGTACCTTAAGATACTGTCAGTATGTTATAAATGATTTGATAAGTTAACATCTGTTTGTCCTTGGAAGTTTTGAATATAAAGTTAGAAAGCTAAGAGTAGACATATACACACTACTATATATAAAACAGACAACTAATAAGGACCTACTGTATAGCACAGGGAACTCTTCTCAATACTCTGTAATGACCTATATGGAGAAGAATCTAAAAAAGAGTGGGCATATGTATATGTATAACTGATTCATTTTGCTGTACAACAGAAACTAACACAACATTGTAAATCAACTATATGCCAATAAAATTTTTTTAAAGAAAGGGGAAAAAAAAGAAAATTAAGAGTAAAGCAGGCCAAAAAAAAAATAAAAAAGATATTAGCACAAACTCTTTTTTTAATAACTTGTCCTATAACCCTGTAGTTAGCAGGACTGTATGAAGACATGTTAATAATCATCATTTATTTACATAAACAGACTGATTTACAAATCAACAGTCTAATTTAAAACAGTATTTTCAGATATCTTAAATGCCACAAGTGAAAGTTATGGAAAAATTGAGCTTCACTAAATTAGTATCCTATGTGATTCCATGAAAATCTTTTTGGAGTGATAAAAATATTCAAATACTAGATTGTAGTGAATTTTATGGCATGTAGATTATAACTCACTGAAGCTGTTTTTAAAAATGGGTATCCTGGGGCTTCCCTGGTGGCGCAGTGGTTGAGAGTCCGCCTGCCGATGCAGGAGACGCGGGTTCGTGCCCCGTTTCGGGAGGGTCCCACGTGCCGCGGAGCGGCTGGGCCCGTGAGCCATGGCCGCTGAGCCTGCGCGTCCGGAGCCTGTGCTCCGCAAATGGGAGAGGCCACAACAGTGAGAGGCCCGCATAACGCAAGAAAAAAAAACAAAACAAAACATGGGTATCCTGAAAAAAACAATGGCAAACCGGAGGGAACAGGGTTTAAGTCCTTCTTCAGTTTCAGTTCTTGGACTGACCAGATATCCCCTTGTTTCTGTGATTTTCCTCACTTTAGTGTTAGGTTTTCTCAAACAAATTCACCAAATAACTCTAGATTACACAGGTAGAAGGTTTTCAAAAGTTCAGACATTTTCCCAAAAGGTGGGACCAGACAGTATGTGAAGGTGCCTAGCATACAAGCAAAATGTCTAAACACTGAAATCTCCCTTCTCTGCAGAGTCTGATATGACAGCGACAAGCAGAGCAGCAATTCATTCAGTCACTGAAAACAGACTTGTTGAACACCTCCTATGTGCCACACACTGTGTTAGACATTAGGGATAAGATGGTGACCGAAACAGATCAGATCCCTACGCTCACAGGCCTTACAGTCCTGCAACTTCTATTGCCCTGTCAAAATCTGTCAAGCAGAAACAAACCCCACCAAACAAGCAAAACAAAACAAACATAAAACTTGCTCAGTAACTAAGAAGGGGGACAAAAACAAAAGAGAAAATAAAACAGTAAGACTAATGGTTTTGAAAAGGTTGCAGACTTCTGTACTAGAATCTCACAGAGACTTTTACAGGTGTAATCACAGGGATGGGGCTTTATGCTGCCTTACTCTCTTCATGGTGGTAGGTTTGACAGCTGCCAAGAGAAATTCATTCATATGGCATGCTCTCTTTAAAACAAAACAAAACTTGGCTAGTAAGCAAAACCAACATTTAACACTTTCCTAATAATCTTAGGGAAAATTACCTGAAAAACACATTTTATGCAGATTGATGTTTCAAGCAGATTAACTAAAGTAAAACAAAAATGTCATGCTTTAAATCCAGTCTAAAGAAAAAGTACAGAATAAATGACCCAGTCACCTCAACAAATAAATTGCAAAACAAAAAACCAAAAAAACAGGGATGGAGAAGGGTCCACTAACAAAGCAACTTAGGAAACACATGCACTAATTGCAATGTATGTGCCTTGTTCGGATCCTGATTTGAACCAACCAACCGTAACAACAACAACAAAAAATATCTAAAGACTATCAGGGCAAATTTTAACACTGACTTGATAGCTGAAGACATGAAGGAATTACTAGAAACTTTACAGGAGTGGTAACAGTATTGTAGTTATATCTTTAAAAGTGTTATCTTTTAGAAACACCCACTAAAATGTTGGTGGATGAAATGATCTGATGTATGAGAGGTGCTCAAAAGAATCCAGGTGAAACTATATTGGCCATTAGTTGATCGATAATCACTGAAACTATACGATGGGTTGATTATATTTTACTTCCGTGAATATTTGAAATTTGCCATAATACTAAGTTTTTAAAAATGCGATTCCAAAGTACATTAAAAAAGGAAAATCTTTGAAAACTTACCACCAAAAGGTGTTGGAAACTGAGCCATGTTTCTGTTACTTTCACCTTGCTAATGGACGCCTGTAATTGAAATGCAACATTTAAGTTTATGAAAACTTCACTCCTAGGTACTTATAAACACACTAACATGCTGTCTTAATGACCTGAAGACTGATACTAGAGTTAGGGGATAGCACTGCAAATGAATGTTACAACTAAGGGTTCATTCATTCATTCCTTCTCTGCGCAGTTTCTCAGTCCCAGGTACAATGATGGGCACTGAGGAATGTGAACGAAAGACTCTCCAGCAACAAGAAGCTTTCAGTCTGGGGAGTGATACTATTAGCTCGGGACGGCCTATTATCTCATTAATTGTATTGTTGTATTTGTTATTTTTTAAATATATCTTTTTCCTAACCATCTACATATAGTACTCGATCTGCTTCATGGTTACAACAACTGCTCTTTTTAATGAGCACTTAGTACATGCTGCGCACCGTCTTATCTCTCCGTTTTTGCGGTTTTCTTGGCTGCACTGTGTATCATGCGTAATAGTTTCCTGACCAGGGATCAAACCTGTGCCCTTGCAGTGGAAGTGCTGAGTCTTAACCACTGGACCGCCAGGGAAGTCCCTTATCGCTTTCCATAGTATCACAGCCCTATGACATTGGTACTGTATTACCATTCCATACTATACACGAAGAAAATGAGAATCAGAGAGGTGAAGTGATTAGAACAACATCACACATTTGGTGACCAAGCTGGATTTGAGCAGGGGAAGCAAACTCCACAGCCTGTGCTGCTTTTATGAAAAACATTGTCTGCGATTGCTGCTTTAAAATGCATATTACACTAATGTCTGCCCAGAATACCAAACACAAACCCAGGCTCAAATATCCCCATCAGGCATTATTTGCTCATGAACAGTCAACATGACACCAAGCCAGTCCTCTTCCCCAAGTGAAAAAATCCAAACTTAATATTTTCCTTATGCTTAACTAAACAACATGGTAAATGCACACAGTTAAAAATGAATACTAAATAGTAACAGAAAAAAATTAGATAAATTTAGAATTAAAAAGTGACAGTCCCTTTGCCCTAATACTCAATTTCATCTGTCCACGGAATTTTTTTTTTTTTTTTTTTTGCGGTACGCGGGCCTCTCACTGCTGTGGCCTCTCCCGCTGCGGAGCGCAGGCTCCGGACGCGCAGGCTCAGCGGCCATGGCTCACGGGCCCAGCCGCTCCGCGGCACGTGGGATCTTCCCGGACCGGGGCACGAACCCGCGTCCCCTGCTTCGGCAGGCGGACTCTCAACCACTGCGCCACCAGGGAAGCCCTGTCCGTGGAATTTTAAAATTCCAAAAGCTCTATCTTGTTCTCAACTATTTATTCCTAGTGTTCTCCTCCATCTTTTTTAAATGGACACAAGTTCTTTTATTCTTCTGATTTTTTTTTCCATTTTACTCTTTAGTTTTCTTCTGTTTCTTGCATCATTTGATTCCTTTTTTGTTTGCTCACTGATAGTTCGTTTAGCGTCATTCTCTTTCACTTTTGAGGCTTTGCTCATATATCTGGCGATCCTTGGATGTACCTTCATATTTAAGACGGAGGCACTAAAACAATGCTCAGAAGCTGGGCGTGGGTGGCAGGTTTATTAATTGATGGGCTTCTCCCTATGATGATCAGATATATCTAGTCACCTGTTCACTGGGAGATCTCCAAATGTCAGATTTTTTCTATTGAAGCTATATTCAGCTAGATGTGGTATTCCAGCTGGCTTCTGGGGAGGAGTGGAGAAGGGAGAAAGAAGTGAGGGGCCTAACTTCAGTGGGTGGACTTGTATACAATCCCTTTATTTTCAACCCCATGTTTCACCCCTCATCTGGAGCATCTCTGGCCTAGTGCTCTTCACATCTCCCCAGAGGAAGGGGGCTGACACAGTCACCTGTCTGCTGGGGGTGCAGGAGAGAATGGTTCAAAATGTCTGAAACACAGACTGTTGAAGAATTTCGATTTTCAGCCGCAAAACTGACCTAGGAATGCCAGGAGCCTCCAAGTACTCTGGGCCTGGGTCAAGCTGGCTTGACCTCACCTTTATTTGTAGGCACTGTTTATCTACCTCTGAACTCAAATTAACACTCCTTTCCAAAGTTATGTTTCTCTTTACAAAAAACTGTCAAAATCTTTTGTCACTGGGGACTTCCCTGATGGCGCAGTGGTTAAGAATCCGCCTGCCAATGCAGTGGACACGGGTTCAAGCCCTGGTCTGGGAAGATCCCACATGCCACGGAGCAACTAAGCCCCTGTGCCACAACTACTGAGCCTGAGCTCTAGAGCCCGCGAGCCACAACTACTGAGCCCGTGTGCCACAACTACTGAATCCCACGCGCTTAGAGCCTGTGCTCCACAACAAGAGAAGCCACTGCAATGAGAAGCCCGTGCACCACAATGAAGAGTAGCCACTGCTCACTATCAGAGAAAGCCCGCGCGCAGCAACAAAGACCCAACGCAGCCAATAAATAAATACATACATACATTTATGTTAAAAAAAAGTCTTTTGTCACTATCTTCTCTACTGTTATCTTTTTCCTTAGGAGTTAACATCTTTTAGCTGCCTACGTGATTATGGCAGACATCAGGGAAGGAGAAGAGAAAACACATGTGGTCAAGGCACCACAGTGAACTGAAAGTCTGTGAGTCCAGTTATGAAGCAGGCCACTTCTCACTGCCAATTCCCTTTAAAAACTACAGCTGCTATTCTGTTCTTCCACTATTTCTCAGTCAATATATTAGGTAGGTAAGCTTGATAATTTTCCAAAAAGTTTTAGTTTTCCACCTCACTTAATCTTCATAATGTCCTTGAAATTGACAAGTCATACATCTTTCGAGCTGTATCCCCCCAAAATTACAGAACAAGACTGTAAAGAATACGCAAAAATTCTTCACCAAAGAAGAATTCAAAACTGAAACTCAAAAATATATAAAAAAGGATATACATTGGAAAAACATAACCAAGGGTTTATGCAGAAGTCAAGGTTAACTTAACATCTGAAAGTAAATTAATGTAATCAACCATATTAACAGAATAAACCAAAAAGCTCATATAATCGTTTTTCCATAAATGTGGGGAAAAAAGCCTTGACAAAACCTCAACACCTAGGAATGATAAAAACTCACAGGAATCTAAGATTAGTGGGAAACTTCCTCAAACAGATACAGGGCATCTATGAAAAAGCTATAGCTAGCATCATAGTTAAAGATTAAAGACTAAATTTCTCCCCCCAGAGATCAGGAAGAAGGCAAGGATACCTACTTTTACCACTTCTATTCAACATTGTTTTGAAGGTTCTAGCCCTGAAAAAAAAAAAAAAAAAAAAAAAAAAAAAAAAAAAAAAAAAAAGGGACAAAGATTTTTAAAAAATCTATAAAACTCTATTTACAGATGATATAATTGTTTACATAGAAAACCCCAAGGAATCTACAAAATAGTACAATAAGTGAATTTGGCAATATCACAGGATGAAACGTTGATATCAACTGAATTCTTATATATGAACAATAATTGGCAATTGAAATGAAGACAAACAATCCCTCTTATAGCAGTGCCAAAAAAATGTAAAAGTCCTAGGTATAAATTTAACAAAAGACATCCAAGGCCAAGGTCTCTATGCTGAAAACTACAAAATATTGCTTAAAAAATAATTAAAGAAGACCTAAATAAATGGAGAGATATACTATGTTAATAGAAAGATTCAATATTGCTAAAATGGCAATTCCCGCCAAATGGATCTATATATTCAATGCAATCCCAATTAAAACTGCAGCAGGCTTTTGAGTAGAAATTGGCAGGCTGATATTGACATTTACTTGCAAATGCAAAGGACCTAGAATTACCACAGCAATTTTTAAAAAGAACAAAATTGGAGGATTTATTCTACCTGATTTCAAGATTTACTAAAAAAGCAATGTAATAACCAAGGCCTTTTGGGACTGACGTAAAGGCAGACATACCAGATCAATGGAACAAAGCGTTGAGAAATAGATTTACACATGTTTGGTGAATTCATTTTTGGCAATGGCAAATCACTGGAGGAAGAAAGTCTTTTCAACAAACTGAAGTAGATCAACTAGATATGGGGAGGTGGTGGAGGCGGGAGGGGGGAACACCGATCCTCCTGCACAAAATACACAAAAATTAATTCAAAATAGATCAAAATTTAAATTTGGCCTAAATTTAAAACCGTATAGTTTTACACAAAATAATTCTAAAAGATAGAATATCTTCGTGACCCTTGGGCTAGGCAACAATTTCTTAGGACACAAAAAAGCATGATTTATTTTTTAAAAAAGAGAGAGAACAGGAAATTGGGCTTCATCAAAGTGAAATGTTATCTCCTTAAGAAAACAAAAAGGCAAGCCATAGACTGGGAGAAAACATTTGCAACACATACATCAGACAAAGGAACTGTACTCAGAATATATAAAGAACTCTTGCAACCTAAAAGTAAATAGTAAGACAAACAACTTAGTGAGGAAATTGATAAGAGATGTGAACAGACACTTCACAAAATAACTCTCAGAAACGGACAAGAAACACATGAAAAGGTGATCAACATCATTAGCCATTAGGGAAACTAAACCAAAGTGATGTGCCACTATGTTTCCACTAGAATGGCAAACATGAAAAAGACTGAGCATACCAAGTGCAGACAAAGATGTGGAACAGCTAGACTCTGCTGGTAGGAATGTAAAATGGTATAATCACATTGGGAAACAGTTTTCTTAAAAAATTATACAGCTACCATTCAACCCAGCCACTCTACTTCTCTATATTTAGCTACGAGAAATGAAGATTTCTATCCACAGGAAGATTTCTACATATATCATGTCAACTTTATTTTTTATTTATTTATTTATTTTTTTGCGGTATGTGGGCCTCTCACTGTTGTGGCCTGTCCTTGGCCTGTCCTGTTGTGGAGCACAGGCTCCGGACACGCAGGCTCAGTGGCCATGGCTCACGGGCCCAGCTGCTCCGCGGCATGTGGGATCCTCCCGGACTGGGGCACGAACCCGTGTCCC